CACACACACACACACACACACACACACACACACACACACACACACTCCCCGACGGCGTGACAATTCTTATTTACGACAATAGTAACACATCTAGTCTCGCACGATTCTGAACACACTGACCCTTCTCCGGACCTTCTCCAGTCCCCGCCTACATGCTCCCCAACAAGGATGTTTAACCCCAGTGGGGAACTGAAACCTCCACATTACAGAGAGTGTGGTTTTGCTTTTTGATTGGGAAGCTGAGCAGGTTCCAAAGCTTCAGACCCTCTTAGAGCCTGGCCCCCTCCTCAGGGCTCCCCTTTTGAGTGCAGCCAACAGCAGCAGTTGGTAGTGGTGGGGGGAGGAGGCACTGAGGGGGCTGAGAGGGTGCTCACACTGTGTAGCCACATTGCTTTTCATTTCCTGCACCAAGCCAGAACCCCACAGAGCCTGAGCTGGGCCTCAGGTAGCTGAGGACACCTGACCCGGCAGGATCCGGGCAAGCAGAGTGAGGGCAAGTCTGTGACCGCCACACGCACCCCGGAGCTGCTGCCACCCATCAGGGCCGGCTTGAGTCACAGAGGGGCAGAGACTGGGGGCAGGGTCCAGGCGAGGATTTCAGATAATGCATGTTTTCATATGATGACCTGGTCCTTGGAGCCTAGTGTGAAGGTGTGTGCGTGTGTGTACATGTATCTATAGATACACGGAAGAATATTTCATTTTATTCAATAGTTATAAAACCATACTAAGTAAGCCCTCAAATATTTTTATACCAAGCTAACTAACACCTTTGGCAAAATCTCAATTCAGGCAGTCTTTGGGCAGGTGAGACTTCTTACGACTTTACTTCAAACATAAAATACTCGTATATGAAATTGCAGATAGATGAAATCATAGAGACAACAAACAACTAGAATAAGGGTTCTAAGGGGGTTTGGTGGGGGTGGTGGGATAGGGGTAAAGGGGAGCTGATATCAAGTAGTTCAAGAAGAAAGAAAATGTTCTGAAACAGATTTTGGTAGCAATTGTACAATACTGTTTAGATATGATTGAACTATATAATGGTATAAAGTCTAGATTAACTCCCAATACAATTGTTTGGAAAAACAAAACAAAACACTCATCTTTAAAAGAAACCACCGTGGTATACAAAACAAGAAGGGATACTTCACACAAAGTGTCAAGGACACTGTTTTACAACCCTGGGGGGAAAGTCCCACCCACATTATAAGCTATACAAATGGAACAAGGGTTGAACAATCCTAAAGAGCCAGATAATACATAAGAAGGGGGTTCAAAAGTTCATGGAAAAAATGTCCTGAAGAGACAGTGGAATTTTTCTACAAGCTTTTGAATGTCCCTTGGCATTTTGCACTTTTCAGGGCAGTTACTGCTTCTGTTACTCAACTCTGCAACAGTGCAACAGCAGTCACACACAACTGGGAAGCAAGTGAGGGTGGCTTGTTCGAATAAAACTTTATTTGGCCCACATGTGTCAAACCCTTTATAAGAGCTACTAATGGCAGACATTAAACCAGAGGTAGACTAGATTGTACCTTGCTAGACAACCTTACCACATTATTTGGAAATACAACCTGCAGACACCAGGACATTGGGAGAGACTGAGCAGGACACATTATGCTTGTCCTTAAACGTATTTTTCACCTCACACGAATGCTGTACCTGTGTATTTGGCAATGTTGTCCAGTAAGAGAGGGTACTTGGTCAGCCTTTGCATTTGGGTAGGGATGATATCCTTCAGCTGCAGACGGCGGCACAATGGATTGCTCTCGGCTTCCTGAATTAAGAAGGAAATAAAGAAATTTGTATTCTTAAGGTCCTAATTCTTAATAGTTTACAATTACTTAATATGTTCCATGAATTCACTATACACATGTCTATACCGCTGTCTTTCTGATTACTAAATCAGATTAAAAAAAGGTCCAGACATCTCTCCGTGCTATACTATTGTTTTCTCCTTTAATCACAGAATGGGAACTGGGGCCTTTATCACTAAACCAAAGAGTTTGTTTTTCTGTTTAAGGCAGGACTAAGAGCACCCAAAAGGAACCCTGGTGGCTTAGTGGGTTAGCAGTTGGGCTGCTTACCTCAAGGTCAGCAGTTCGAAACCACCAGCTACCCCAAGGAAGAAAGATGAAGCCTTCTACTTTCATAGAGTTACAGTCTCAGAAACCCAAAAGGGCAACTCTACCTTACTCTATAAGGGTCTCTAAGAGTTGGAACTGACTCAATGGCAGTGATTAGGGTGGGGAGAGAGCACCCATATTCAACTCTAAGAATTGCTTTTATGCAACAAAAACGTTTCACCCTCATCAATTCATGAAATCTTATCAACATGTCTACCAAAAACTAATCAGCTCATTTGCTACCTGCTTTTCCAAATATGCCCAATGACAATGACCCCACAGCCTGGCTCTGCCAGCTGGTTTACACCAGAATCTGCAAGGGGTTCGTGAAGGGCTCAGAAAGAGATACTTGAGATCTGGAAGGCTGCATGGCCTCTGTCATAGCTACTCACACTCCGAGGCCACAGTCCAAACACAGCCCCAGACAGGATGTACACGAATGGGCGTGGCTAGGTCTAGCAGGCAGAGTTCAAAGACGGCGTCCAAGATGCCACCCTCCCACGACACCAGTGGAGCTTCCCGGCAGGGACATTGGTGAAGTCTCAGAATATGATGGGATATTAACCAACTGACTTTTTGTTTATTGAAGTGGAGACTGTTTTGGGCGGGCTTGACGCAATCCAAGAAGCCCTCATAAGAAAGCCGTGGTGGAAATGGAACCCTCCTAGCTAAAGGGGTGAGGGTAGGGGGTGCCCAGGAGGCCCACACAGAAAAGAGGTGTAGCGGTTCTCCGAGAGCTAAAAACAGTCCCTTAGCTACAATTATAAGAAAATGATAACCTCGATTATGCAGCTACAAAGAAGTGAATTTTGCTAGCAACCTGCAAACTTGGAAAATGACGTCAAAGTCAGTCTGGGGAGATGTTACACAGCAGACTTAGCCGAGCAACATTTACACTCCCTCACATAGAAAGTGTGAGGCAACACATGTAGTTAAAAAAAAATTTTTTATTAAAAGATCACTTTACTGAGGGCTCTTACAGCTCTTATTATAATCCACACATCAGTTGTATCGGGCATATTTGTGCCTATGTTGCCACCATTCTTTTCTAGACGTTTACTTTCTATTGAGCCCTTGGGATCAGCACCTCTTTTTTTTTAATGTGTGTTGTTTTAAGTTCCTGTGTTTGTGATAATTTGTTAGGCAACAACAGGAAACAGACATGGCCCCCAGGCAGTTTGCTCTCCCTTGATATACATTATATGAGCAGACCCCGATGACTTACCAAGCACTCAAGTTACAACGAACTACACTTACTACTGTCCAGTTTTTTTAATGGTATATTTCTTAATATATGTAGCACAACATACCTGCTAAGTTTATATCTAATACTTCTAACCCCCCAAAACAAATAAGGATCAGATTTATCACGATACTACTAATAAAATGTGAAAACTATAAATAAAAGGTGAGGTACTGGACTTGGGTCATGACTGACTCCCCGGCGGAGCTGTCTGAACGGAGCCCTATTTCAGTCAGCCCGCCCCAGTGCACAGACCTGTTGCTACGCTCATCGCTCGGCCTGATGTGAGCCAATTTTAATGTTTTGGCAATATTTGTTTAATGGTGTGCATGGGTCATTTCCTGATAATATCTTCACGGCAATGTGGAATTCTCTGACAAGCATTTTAATCCTGACCTACAGGGCTCTTTTTCATTCACCATTCCAATTTTAACTATTTCTTCTAGTAATTTAAGAAATAGCTCATGGCTTTAAAAACATTATATAACCACTGTGAAGCACTTAGTCGCAACAGCTTTCATGGTTTCTGTTAGTAAGAACTTGCATTCGTTTAGTCTCATTGTTCTTGTTGGTTTTCTTTACATGAATCACTCAACTCACTTGCACAAAAGTCTGGAACCGAGAGTCCTTTTTCTGACGAGACTTGATCATTTCCAGGGCGAAGGGCTGGTTACTACAAAAGGTGGCAGCTGCATGTTTCAACTTCTCCTCTCCTGGGCCACTGAACTGTGCCAAGAATGTAAAGCAAACAATAGAGAATGGGATATGGAGCTTATATAACGTCAGACAAATGACAGGCGACCGTAATCCTTTTCAACATCCAAGCATGTATTCTCAAGTGACAAGACACATTGATCGAACTACAGACCTGCGTGGGTAATCAGGTTTTCCCAACTAAAACGTCTGACCCCGACAGCCAGACCGTTCTTGATCACCTTCCACCCAGGGCTCCCTTGCTTTTAGGCCACCACAATTTACTAGCTTCCAGTCTACACAGTTCTATCTCAATTAAACAGAAAAGTTGATGTTGGGGGTAATCTGAGACACAAAACTCCTGGAGACTGAGATTAACTTTTCGTTTTCTTAGATCCTGGCACCAGCACAAAAATTGCTCTGTGACTGCTCCTGAAAGCAAACCCTTGGGATTCCCGGGCTCTTTCTTATTCTCTTATGAACCACGGCAGCTCACAACTTCTGGGCTGCAATACAATGGGCGCACTGCTGCTTCACCTGTGGAGACTGGGGCTGGTTCAGAGGCGAGATCCATGGGCCTGTGAGCTTCCTTGGATAAAGATTAGCCTTTTAATTGGTATTTTCTATTTTGTACATTTGGTTTGCATATGCCATGAGTTCCAAGTTTCTGAGAAAACACTTCAGGGGTGCTTTGTCCTAATCTACTCTGTCCTACTCTCATACAGTACAGGGGGATTAAATTATTTTTCCATGCCACCTGAGCATGTGTAAGAATTGTTGTACGGTTTCACAAAGAGGTTTTTCCCATGTGATCACTTATTTAAATTCATAGCCCCAAAAGTTTGTCCAGAGAGTTATTTTGTGAAAATTCCTTTGCAGTGAATATGCACATAAATTCAGAGATGATTCTCCTCAGGGAGAACACACCCACAGTGATCACTTTAGTAGGTTTCTCCAATGGTTCCTTCCTGGTCTACTGTACGCACGGCATTCAAAACCTATGCTAGTCAATCAGAGCCATGCAAATAATAAAGGAGCTGGGAAATTAAAAACTAAACAGAAACAATACTCTAAACTTCACACAGCTTTACAAGTAGTTTGAGTGCACAAACTCAAAATAAAACACTCACTGCCGGTGAGTCAATTATGACTCACAACGACCCCACGGGGCAGAGTAGAACTGACCCTATGGGTTTCTGAGACTAAATCTTTATGACATCAGAGAGCCTCCTCTTTCTCCCTTGGAGGAATTGGTGGTTTCAAACTGTTCACCTTATGGTTAGCAGCCCAACTCAAAAGCCACTACACAACCAGGACTCCCATAAGTGTACGCAAAGCAAACTGAAAGGATAAATAGCATAACACTATTCAAAGCTATTTCTTTGAAAGAGCAGCAGCAAAGCAAAGGCCTGCTTCAGATTTTTGCTTTTTAGGGAGTTCTAGCCAGTGCTTTGCTCTTCCTTTGTATCCGGCAGCTACGAGCCAGATTGGTTAGTTCATTCTACTTTTTCAACCTTTATAGACATATCCCACTGATTGAGGAGAGCTTCTTCCTGTCAGTGCAAGTTTCTCCACTTTGTCATGATGGTGCCTGCAGTCCAAGGACCTGTGGTAAGAGGACCAAATGCACGACAGTACTTTCTAAAAAGTACCGTATACACTCGCGTATAAGCTGACCCACCTAATTTTAAAAACAAAACTGCATTAAAAATGTGCTGAAAAACACGACTTATACATGAGGATATAGGTACTCCAAAATACCCCTGGAGAGGATTGCCCCTATGTTCCAATTTAAGTCCCCAGTATATGTTCCACAATAACCTGTATTTTCCTGTTTGGGGAACCCTCACCACACACTCTAGAGGTGCCAAATGCCTGTCTCTTGTTGACTGCGAATGACCAGAACCTCCTCTGCGTTGTTCGACACTGTATGGCTGGAACAAGGCACAGTCCTTGGCATATGAGTACATACCGTCAAGTTTGTACCCACAGACGGACAGAAAGACAGTGACAATTTGACGAACTGCTGCCGCCTGCCTCAGGATTCTTTCCTCGTATGTTGAAATTGTTGCTGCCTCAAGGTGGCGCAAGTCAGTTCTGACTCATAGCACCTCCTAGCAGCAGTTCTAGAGCCCACAGTTCTCGCCATGCTTGAGCTAGCTCACTGTTGCAACCACGGCACCGATCCATCCCGGAGAGGCTTCCTTCCCGTCCACACCTCTACTTTTCCAAGCGTGATGTCCACCTGATAACATATCCAAAGGAAGTGAGAGAAAGTCTCACCATCCTTGCTTCTACAGAGCAATTTGCCTGTATTTATTCCAAGATAAATGTGCTTGTTTTTCTGGAAGTATATTGGAAAGTCAATATTCTTCACACATTTCAATTCTTCTTTGGTCTTCCTTATGCCCTGTCCAGTTCTCATATGCATATGCAGAGACTGAAAAACCATGGCTTGATCCAGGTGCATCTTAGTCCTACAAGTGACAACCTGACTCTTTCACACAGATGTGTCCATTTGATAGTATGAATAAGATTAGGCCACTTTTGTATTGTTGGCGACATAGTTCAGGACCATGCAACTGCCTGATGTTGTACACTTAAGCCTTCTAGACTTAGAAAACAAACGCTGACTGAAAATCTGCATCAGGTAAATGACATCTATTAAGTCTAAATTCCTCTATATTTTTTCAAGTACCCGGGACCAGTATCTTTGATTCTATGGAAACAGTGAGTACCTGCTCTAGACCAGCGGTTCTCAACCTGTGAGTCGTAACCCTTTTGGGTGTCGAACGACCCTTTTACAGGGGTCCCCCGATTCATAACAGTAGCAAAATTACAGTTAGGAAGTAGCAATGCAAATGATTTTACGGTTGGGGGTCACCACCACATGAGGAACTGAGTTAAAGGGTCGCAGCATCAGGAGGACTGAGAACTACTGTCCTAGACCTTTCATATTTAAAAAAAGTTTGGTATTTATGAAGTTTAACATTAGCTTTACAAAATGGATGCGTGTGCATACTTGAAAAGGTTCATTATTTAACCTTGAATCTAACCATCAATTATCTCTAAGGATACTTTTTAGGGAATCGAAAATATCTTTACCCAGCTCAGCAAATCTTCCCCAATCTGATCAATCACGGAAGTCTCATTCCTTTTTCGAACAGCTTTCATTTGCTCATTCAACCCAACTAAGAAAAAAAGGAAAATATAAGTATACATTCAGTTTAACCAAGTGGCTACATTTTCAAAGAAAGGGTTTTCAGAGTAGTTTAACTGCTTCCAATATCCTTAAATCTACATACCACACTCTCACACATCTAAGAATCTCTGAGTTCTATCTGAGAAACAGGCACCAAAGCATACACCACCCTTTGGGAAAACTGCACGGGACATAGGCTGCAGTTGTGTCAAGCATGCACACTGAGCATCAGGGCTCCACCTACAGCCACACTAAAAAAGAACTTAATTTAAATAGTGCACATGATTTCTGCCTACCGTTCCTCTCAAAGTGCCTATGCCCACAAGCCAAGGGCATAATCAAGCCTGACTTCAGTATATGAGCTGGTGAAATCTAACATCACCCACAAAGCAGTAAAGCCAACAAAGTCGTGGTAAAATGTGGAAGCTGATGGCATCATTGATGAAAAGGAAGATTTAAAGCTTAATTAAGTGTTTTAGAAAATCACTGACTGACACAGAGAGGAAATGATGCAACTGACTACAAAAGTCCAAGATGACTAGACAACAAGGTAGAATTTTGCATACTCTCTCATGTGGGTCTCAAGACAAAACAATGAACTAACGTAGCTCCTCAAAAGCACCCCACCATGGGACTCTATACTATCTACTTCCATTGGCAGAGCGCATTCACTGTCATATTTGATACAGAATATATCTTTTTAAAAACAACACTATAATTAGCAGGAAATTTAAGAAATGTGTCAAGGGTAATTTTGACTATTTTTCGCTTTCTGCAGTGACTTTAGACACTAAGCTCTACACATACAGCTAAAACAAGCCAAAAATGATATGTTCAAAGATTGGGTGATTTCTCTGTTATACGCTCACATATAATTCCAGAAGCACTAACATGGATACATTTATAAAAGTTCACTTATACAAATTAAGGGACCATGGTAGTCTGAATCCTTTCTCTATGGAAACGCTAGGGACAAAGATGAGAGGCAATTTCTCTTACCGTGAAGTTGAAGAACATCTTCCAGATTTGAAAAAATTTTCCGTAGCTCTGAAGGTGACAAAATTCCTTCTCTGGACACTCGCTGATAGAACACTTGATCAAGAACCTTCAGTGTTCGCACATGAGCTCTTTCAGTGTAGAACAATTCTAAGCAGAAAAATAGGAGATACGGAGTACGGCCTTGCTCAGAATAATTCCATGAGACCAGACATGGAAATACGTAGCAAATGAGACAGGCAGAATGTGACTTCGTTTAGGAAGGATGCAGTGGCCCTGAGTCACTTTCCTGAGACCATGAAACTCTCCTACACACCGAACACACCCACTCCTCACTCAGCAACGTGGTTAGCAGCTTAATACCAGGGGTTCTTTGCGATAATCAACATTATGTGAAAGAGGAGAATGACTATATCACTACCGAACTGCCAAATCCCAACTACTAAGCATCATGGCTCAGCCACTGACACTCAAGGCAGCATTCCTCTCGCCTCACACCTCGGTGTTGGTTATTGCCAGCATATATATAAGATAGGCAGATAGAATTTTTTGCTACTGCTCGAACTGTGAAATGTGGGCTAATGAGATAGTAACTAAGTATATGGACAAGTGAGAAATATCATTCAAATAATTTCGCATTTAAAAGCTACCAGAGAAGAAAGCTGATGGTGCCCAGCTATCAAAAGATATAGCGTCTGGGGTCTTAAAGGCCTGAAGGTAAACAAGCGGCCATCTAGAGATGAGAAACAACAAAGCCCACATGGAAGAAGCACACCAGCCTGTGAGATCACAAGGCATCGAAAAGATCAGGTATCAGGCATCAAAGACAAAAAAAGCCCATAGCATTGTGAATGAGAGGGGGTGCAGAGTGGGGACCTAGGGCCCATCTGTGGGCAATCGGACATCCCCTTACAGAAGGGTCGCAGGGAAGAGACGAGCCAGTCAGGGTACGGTGTAGCAATGATGAAACATACAACTTCCCTCTAGTTCTTGAATGCTTCCTTCCCCCCCACTATCATGACCCCAATTCTACCTTACAAATCTGGCTGGACCGGAGGATGTACACTGGTACAGATAGAACTGGAAACACAGGGAATCCAGGATAGATGAACCCCTCAGGATCAGTGGTGATAATGGCGATACCGGGAGGATGGAGGGAAGGTGAGGGAGAAAGGGAGAAAGATTACAAGGATCTACATATAACCTCTTCCATGGGAGACGGACAGTGGAGAAGTGGGTGAAGGGAGACATCAGACGGTGTAAGATATGATAAAATAATCATTTATAAATTATCAGGGGTTCATCGGGGGAGGGGGAGCGGGGAGGGAGGGCAAAAAAAATAAGGAGCGAATACCAGGGGCTGAAGTAGAAAGCAAATGTTTCAAGAATGATGAGCGAAACAAATGTACAAAAGTGCTTGACACAATGGATGTATGTATGGATTGTGATAAGAGTTGTACAAGCCTCCCCCCAACTACCATGATTCCAATACTGCCTTGCAGACCTGGTTAGACCAGATGATGCACAGCGGTACAGATGGGAACTGGAAACGCAGGGAATCTAGGACAGATGAACCACTCAGGACCAGGGGTGACAGTGGCCATACCAG